TTCATGTCTAAGGCGGGACTAGAACTCCCAGTCTCCTAGTGATTGGCTCAAAGTCACCCAGCCTGCTTTCAGGCCTGAGGTGGGATTAGAACTAGGGCCCACAATGAGATCCATGAATTTCTAGGAACTGAATCTTCTGGATTAAATTGTGGATCTTCTCCAAATGGAATCAGAGACTGCTTTCAATTGGAACCAGAGAAGATCACAACGAGATCCCTGAATCGCAAAGAACTGAATCTCCTGGCTCTTTAGTCTACAGCTAACCCACAAATCCCGGTCAAACATCTCAGCTAGCCTGCCGTCCTGCCTCGGCTTACCTGGGTCAGGTAGAAGATGCGGCTGTGGGGCACATTCGAAAGTGAGTTGACAGCACCCCGGAAGGTGTAAATCTGTTGGTGTGGATCTCCTACCAAGATCACTCCGCATGTTTGTGAGAGGACAATATCCATAACCGCTAGAGAACGAAAGAAAAAAAAAGAGCTTTAGAAGCTTGATATGGAGAGAGTCAGAGAGAGAGAAAGAGAGAGACAGAGACAGAGAGAGAGTCAGAGAGAGAGAGAGAGACAGAGAGAGAGAGAGAGAGAGAGAGAGAGACAAAGAGACAGACAGAGAGAGAGAAAGAGAGACAGAGAGACAGAGAGAGAGAGACAGAGACAGAGAGAGAGTCAGAGACAGAGACAGAGAGAGAAAGAGAGACAGAGAGAGAGAGAGAGACAAAGAGACAGACAGAGAGAGACAGAGACAGAGAGAGAGACAGAGAGAGACAAAGAGACAGAGACAGAGATTATTTATACATTTTTCTTTAACATACATAAGTGCCTAGTAAACAGTGTATCGTCTGGGTCAATTTACTTATACATAATAATAGTGACAATATTATTATTTACTTGTAGGTAGTAGTATTCTTCCAACTTCTAATTTCTACCTCTATTATCTAACCATTGATAAAAAAAAAATCCCACTTTGAAAAATATTCTGTATCTTCCTTATCCTTTACCTTTAATGTTAACCTATCCATTTCCGCACAATCAATTTTTTTTAGTTATATTTTCATCTGTGGGAATTTCCTCATTTTTCCAGTGTTGTTCAGATACAGTTCTCGCTGCTGTCAAAACATATAGCATTAAGCGTATGTTCCCTTTGTCATATTTTTCTAACAATATACCTATAACAAAAACATTCCTGGCTTTAAATTTATGTGTCGCCTTATCATTTCCTCTAACCATGCGTATATTTTCATCCAATTTTGGGGTGAGGGCGGGGGGGGGCTTTGGGCATGTCCATCACATATGGTAGTACGAGCCTGGTATCTGATTGCATCTCCAACATTTGGCGGACATGTTTTTAAACATCTTTGCTTTGCTGAATTTTAATCTTTAACGAGCCCGGGGATTTTAACCTTTTAATCTTTACCATAAACGGGCTGTGGGCCGCCAGCTGCCAGTAGAACTGGTGGCAAACTCAGACAACGAGGAGGTTGGAGAAGAACTTCGGCCAGTTCTGGAGCATGGAGAAGGTTCTGATGGATGCTCAGCGTTGGGACACAGAGATAGAGCCAGGGCCATCCGACTCTCATGCCCCTGTTGGAGTCTGAATCCAAGGAGGGAGACGAACAGCTGACAGGGAGCGTGGCTCCGTTGGCTGTGGAGGAGGCTGGGGAAAGGCAAAGTCCGGCTGGGAAGAGCAGGGGAGAGGCAGAACAAGGGAGAGCCACATTCCCGCTCCCTGTCGGCTGCTCGTTTTCCTCCTCAGATTCAGGCTCCCACAGGGACATGACACCACACCTCACTCACCGGGGGTGCAATCTTGGGCCTCATCCACCAAGATGGCATCGTAGTTGGAAAGAGAAGGCTTCTGGAGTTGCCAAAGTTTCAAGTAACCTAAAAGGCACAAGACCGGTGCTTAAAATCAATATCACTGTACAAAAAATACCCCCCAACATTGCATGATTTGAGGTTCTTGGGCTCCTGCGGAATCACAGCCCACGGTTATTTCAAAAAGGAAGCATCTGTTATAATTACCATCTCCTAGACTCGAACTCCTTGTCTCCTGGGGATTGGCCCAAACTCACCCAGTTGGTGTGTTCTTCATTCTTAAGGCGGGACTAGAACTCACTGTCTTCTAGTGACTTGACCAAAGTTACCCAGGCGGCTTTCATGCTTAAGGCGGGACTAGAACTCACGGTCTCCTAGACTAGAGCTCACTGTTTCCTGGGGATTGGCTCAAATTCACTCAACTGGCTTTCATGCCTAAGGTGGAACTAGAACTCACCGTCTCCTGGTGATGGGCCCAAAGTCACCAGCTTGCCTACATGCTTTAAGGGAGGTCTAGAACTCACTGTCTCCTTGTCTAGAACTCACTGTTTCCAACTCATTTTGGGTGATTGGCCCAGAGTCACCTAGTTGGCTTTCATGCTTTAAGGCGGGACTAGGACTCACTGACTCCTGGTGATTGGCCCAAAGTCACCTGGCTAGCTTTCATGCCTAAGGCAGGACTAGAACTCACTGTCTCCTAGACTAGTGCTCACTGTTTCCGGTGATTGGCCCAAATTCACCCAGTCGCCTTTCATTCTTAGGGCGGGACTAGAACTCACTGACTCCTGGTGATTGGTCCAAGGTCACCCAGCCAGCTTTCACGCCTAAGGCGGGACTAGAATTTCCCTCCATGAAGAAAATTGCCCCTTTATTCTTATTTTTTTCCTCCTGTTTCTTCAGCAGAGCTAAATGCCCCCAACCTCCCCTCACATATTCCCATTTACCGTCGTGCGTCATTCGGTGCGCCATCTCCTGGGTTGGGCCCAGCGATTTCATCTTGCTCCATATTTGTTTCGCTTCTTCCACAATGATCTAGAAAGCAAAAAAGTTGGTTAAGAAGATCTTGCGGGTGAAAAAGATCAAATCCAAAGTTCTCTGCTCTAGGCTGCCCAAGGATCTTGGAGGTCTGGATCTAGAGCTAGCCCTCGACTTACAACCACAAAAGAGTGCCAGATTTCCACTGCTAAGCAAGACAGTTGCTAAGTCAGATTCTGCCCCATTTTACGACCGTTCTTGGCACAGTTGTTAAGTGAATCTGCGATGACCCAGGGTGGGATACAAGACAGAGTCACAGAAAACAAGTGAAGCCCCTTTTATTCCTTCAGTTTGCTTCCAAGCTCCGACTATCTTTGATGGAAGACAAAAAACACTCCCACACAAACAGTTACACAAAGAAGGAAAAAAGCAACACAAACCAGACAAGATAAAGGACTGGAGGATGTCCACATCTAACACACACTGGGAAGGATGCCAAACTCAGAGAGGAACCATAAACTAGAGATATTTACACGCTTTGTTTCCAGCGTTCGCCAGTACTTATTCAGTTGTCACAGCTGCAGCCCATGAAGGGGATCAGGGCCCTTTCCTCCCCCCGTAGACCAGGCCATTCACGTTTCTCCCTTATCCGCTCTTCCCTGCGTGCCCTAGGATGAAGAGGGGATGGGCCTGGCTCCTCCTCTGACTGCCCAGCCGGCCTCTGCCCTTCCCCATCCTCCTCCACCACCTCCGGAGCCACCCTTCCACTCCCTGTCGGCTGTTCCTCCTCTCCCTCAGAGTTCGTCTCCACCACGGGCATGACAGAATCGCTGCAAGTTTGTCACACGGTTGTTAAGTGAATCTGGCTGCCCCCGTGGACTTTGCTGCTCAGAAGGTCATAAAAAAGGATCATGTCATCCCAGGGGACTTTAACTGTCATAAATAAGACGTAGTCCCCGACTTACGACCACAATAGAGCCCAACATTTCCGTTGTTAAGCGAGACAGTTCTTAAGTGAAGTTTGCCCCACGTTGCAACCTTTCTTGCCGTGGCTGTGAAGAGAATCACTGCAGAAGTGAAGTAAGGAATGCCGTTCTGAAGTGAATCTGGCTTCCCCGCGGACGTTGCTTGCCGGAAGGTCTCAAAAGGGAGAATTCCCCCTTGAGGTCAGGAACCGTCATAAAAATGAGTCAGTTGCCAGTGCTGATCAAATGACCCTGGGGATTGCTGCAACGGGGTGATGTAACTCACTTTTTGCCATGCTGTTGTAACTTGGAATGGTCACTCAATGGACTATTGTAAGTCAAGGACATCCTGTACGTGTTAAGAGGCGAAGGGTCTGAATTTGCAATCGCGTGAGCCCGGGGTTCGTAAGTGTGAAAAAAATGTTCCTAGGACGGTGATGGCGAACCTATGGCATGCGAGCCCCAGCCAAACTAACCCGCACTGCGCATGTCCACGCCTCCCAGCTGATTTTTGGCCCGTTTGAGGCCATTTTCGCCCTCTTGGAGGCTCCAGGGAAGCCTGTGCAGCCTTGGGAGGCCGAAAAATGGGCCTTCCGGAAATACCGGAAGTGCCGAAAAGGGCCTCCCAAGGCTTCTCTTGAGCCTGCGGGAGAGCAAAAATGGCCTCCCCCGTGCTCCAGAGATCCTCCCGAGGCTGAAAACGGGCACTTCTGGTATTTCCGGAAGGCCCGTTTTTCGGCCTCCAGAGGCTGCAGAGGCTTCCCGTGATCTTCCAGGAGTACAACAGCCTCCCCCGGGCTCCAGAGGCCCTCTGGAGGCTGAAAATGGGCCAAGGCTTTTCTCGCGCCTCCGGGAAGGCGAAAACAGCCTCTAACAGGCCGAAAATCAGCGGGGAGGTGCACGCATGCGCAGTGCGGGTAACGTGGCAGGGCGGGGGGGTGTTGTGCGCACATTGGTGTGGGGGGGTGTCGCGTGCGCTTTCGGCACACAACAAAAAAGGTTCGCCATCACTGTCCTAAGTCTTTTTCTTTTTCCCCCGGACCGTCGTTAACTTCAAACGGTCACTAGACAAATGCTCGTAAAGTCGAGGATTGCCCGTCCCTGGTCCCGAGAAAGAAACACTCACGTGTTTTTCACACCCCTCCATAAGGACGATTTGTCCGCGGTTGTTCTTGAACCAAATGGGCGTGTGCTCCATGGTGATGGTCGCATCCGCCGACGCGAAAAAGGCAGTGAGGGTCTGAACGATGGTCTTGCCTCGGATGAACGGAGACTGGCCCTGGCGATTGGAGAGGACGAAGCTGACCATATAGGAGGTCAGCGAGCCCGGGTTAAGCTTCTGTCTGTAACTGCGGCAGAATGAAAGAGGGGAAGTGAAACTAATTATCATCTCCTTTCAATGACCCCGTAAGCTCTCGCCGGGGTGGAGTCTGGGCCATTGAATGCAGCCGAGTGTCTTACTGGCCGGATGCCCTTCCTTTCACCAATGAGGAGTTTTATTCGGCAGATATGTTCTTATTTTTTGCTCAGAGAGAAAAATATCTGCCTCTACCCAGGATCGAACTCATAGCCTCCTGACTGTGAGGCAAGAGCTCCACTTCTAGGCCACCCCACCGGAAGGTGGAATTAAACCTGATGTTAAATCTCTGCTTATTTGGGTGTGGATTGCTAGCGAGGAGCTTGTAGGAAGTTGAGCCTGAAGGAAGGGTGAAAGGCGTCATAAGTCACGAGTCCCTGCATGCCCACAAGAGGTCAAAAAAAAGGATGTTGACACTCTGGAAAGAGCGCAGAGAAAATTAACCAAGATGATTAAGGGACTGGAGGCTAAAACATATGATGACCAGTTGCAGGAACTGGGCCTGGCTAGTCTAGGGAAGAGAAGGACCAGGGGAGACAGGAGAGCAGCCTTCCAATATTTGAGGGGCTGCCCCAGAGAGGAGGAAGGGGTTGTCAGCTGGCGCCCCATTCAAAATCCAAGAAAGAAATACTCCTTTAAGACTCCTTTAATCAGAGAAAAGATATCTTTTACTGGAAATCAAGCGGTAGCAACAAAAGAATTCTGAATCTGAGAAAATAGGCGCGTAAATCCCATATACAAAGTAAGGGCAACGTTCCCACCCCCAATAGTTCAATTGGTTCATCCAATTAAAAGTTGCGTGGATCATCGTGTGGGCATCTCCAGGTGGTGATGAGGCCTCTGTCCGTTGACTTTGACGTAGTTTGATAAAGGGTTGCAGCTGCGCGTAGCATAGGATAGAAACCTAATCAAGAATGTACCCCCCTCCCAGTTTATACAGTGCTGGTTTGTAACACCTCCAGCTCACTTCCCATAATCCTCCTCCCCCCGTTACTTATGACAGCCGAAAGATGCAAAGAAAAGGGAGAAAACTCTTGAAGGCTGACAGGGGTCAAGCTATTTTCCAAAGCACCCAAAGGCCAGACAAGGAATAATGGATGGAAACTGAACCAGGAGAGATTTAACCTGGAAATAAGGAGAAACTTTCTGACAGTGAGAACAATCCACCCATGGAACAGAAGTTGCCCTCGGAAGTTGTAGGAATTTCGCCGCTTTTCAAAAAGAGATTGGACTGCCATCTGTCAGGGATGGTTTAAGGTCTCCTGCTTAGGCCTGGGGTTGGACTAGATGACCTACAAGGTCCCTTCCGATTCTCTTAATCTGACTTTATCTGACTTTAATGGACAAAAGGACCAGGGGAGACAGGATAGCAGTCTTCCAGTATTTGAGGGGCTGCCACAGAGAGGAGGAAGGGGGTCAAGCTATTCTCCAAGGCACTTGAAGGCCAGAGAAGGAACAATGGATGGAAACTGACCAAGGAGAGATTCAACCTGGAAATAAGGAGAAACTTTCTGACAGTGAGAACAATCAACCCATGGAACAGAAGTTGCCCTCGGAAGTTGTGGGAGCTTCATCCCTAGAGGCTTTCAGGAAGAGACTGGACTGCCATCTGTCAGGGATGGTGTAAGGTCTCCTGCTTAGGCCTGGGGTTGGACTAGATGACCTACAAGGTCCCTTCCAACCTCGGTTAACCTGTTATTATTCTGTTATTCAGAAATTGTGGGCGCTCCATCCCTGGAGGCTTTCAGGAAGAGACTGGACGGCTTCCCTCTGTCAGCAACATTATAAGGTCTCCTGCTTGGGTGGGTGGGGGGTGGACTAGATGACCTACAGGTTCCCTTCCAACTCTTGCTATTCTGTTCTTCCCTCAACCATGGTGTCCCTAACTCAGCCACTGCACTGATTCCCTTTAACGTGGCCAACAAGGTTGTAGAATTGGAGGGGTGGGGCGGACTCATTTCACCACTGTCTCATTCAGCGGTTGAGCTCAATAGTGGTTGTACATTGAGGAATACGTCCCACGGACTTCCGGTGGCACTTCCGTCGAAGACGGACGGAAGGCCTCAATCACGCGCGGCTTTGACCCGTGCTTATCCTGTTGGAAGGGACCGGATCCATCAGACCCAACTCGGAAGGGTGGGGGAAGAGGGGGAGGCCGCCAGCTGTGTCGAGAGGAGCCGCCTCTCCCCTCCCTGGCTTGGTATCCTCTCCTTGAAGACAGGAGGTAGGCGGCCATTTTAATGGCTGCCCTACGGATGGAAAGCTTCCGGCGACCTCAGTGTGTGCTGAAGCGGTGAGCAACGTGTAACCAGACAAAGGATTTCGGATTTTGCTTTGATCACCCCAATGAGAGAAAAATTATAAGTTGCTCTTTTATAATGGACTTTATGCAGCAAGATTAGAAAACCCTTTGGCTCATTTTGCATATAAAATAGACGAGAAGGTTCTTTCTTCCATTCCTTTCTGACGCTCTCACTAGCTTTCTCTGTCTTTGCATAAAACCCCCTCCCTTTCGTTGTTTCTACTGAAAAAAAAATATCAACCTAGCCAAGGAGGCGCTCAAGACCGTAGCCCGGTCATTGACAGACGCATGATACATTCCACAGATACATAAATAGATTGATAAGAAAACAGGAAGATCTGCCCGGG